GGTCCGTGGTGTCCCGGCGCCGGAGTGAAGGACATCTGGGAAGATCGCGTCCTGGGTGCACCGGGCCTGTGCAGAGAAACACATGGAGTAGAGGTGGTGGGAGAGTTAGCAGCGCGTTGTATACTTACCTCGGACTTGTGAGCGTCAGCCTGGGATGTTTCCAGCGCGGCTCTCCGCTCTCTCAGCTGGGTCTGCTTCTCCACCAGGTCGCGGATCTGCTTCTCCACGGCCTCCAGCTCTGAATGCAGCTCGAACGTGTCCTCACCTGCACTCAAAGGTAGACACACATCCACCATTAAAGCAAGTAACAGTGAATAGAGTATTAGTAATGTAAGCGAGATTAGCGGCAACCACGCTGGCGATGCTAGCGGGCTATATGCTAATAGCGGACAAAAATAGAACTAGTGATAACAAGGCGCTCTGATTGTTTTTGTTGTAGAATACGATAGGGGATATATTCACACGTTATAGAAACGAAAATTATGGTGTATAAAATTGATTTTAAGATAAAAAATTAGACGACAAAGAATTAACTTGACGGAGCTCAAACTCAAAACACACGGCAGCAACCTGGTGAACAATAATGGAGAGATCTCTCTTCTCTCCAAGTGTGCACTCCATTTTGAACAACACCTTACTAATGCACCTCAGTTTCATCTAATACATCTTGTGTTTTTACGTAGTGGAAACATGGTGCTAGCAACAACAAAGTCATGGGTTCGATTTCCAGGGAATGCATGAACTTAATAAAATGTGTACCTTGAGTACAAAGAACTTCTGGATAAATGTAAAATGCAAATGTAACATGAAAGAACATGCGTTTGATTCCCAGGGAATGCATAAAGAAAATGTACTTTGAATGTAAGTCACTTTAGTTAAAAAAATAAAAATAAATGCCAAAAACATGAATGTAAATATGCCTAAACAAACGTGTTTTTAAAAAGTACTGAAAACTTGCAAAATTGAAAACCTGGAGTGGATTTGGAATGGCATAAACTCACGTACTCTGGTCAGACACTTATCCTCCTCCACAATGGAACAATAAGGGTCAGTCCTTTCTATTAGTCATTACACAGCCTCTGACCAGAGAAAACAGCCAGCAGAAAGGGGGACTTTGTGGGGGGCTGTTTCCTCAAAGTATCCCCTTACTCTCAAACAAAAGGCTTGTTCAGTCTGCTGAGGGTCTGAATGTGGAAGACCCTGAGACTGGGACAAACCAGTGAGGACTGGTCAGGACAATGAATCACGGTGTCTGATTTTTAATAATATATATTTTTTGTTTGTTTTAAAAATAAGTCTATTTTAAATAAAATATTAAATAAATATATATTTTTTTATTTTTAAATATCAAAAACATTTTATATATTTTTATTTTACAATTTATAAAATAAATACAATTTAAATAAAGAAATAATATTGATATTTTATTAATATTTTCCATAATATTTTATTGATTTTATTTCATACTCTGTGATGCTATGTATCATATATAAGAAAACATTTGATAATGTATTTCCAGAACGTAGCGCAATTCGATTAGAACAAATCTAGGTCAAAATACGGCCTGATAGATGGAAATAAACGAAGCAGCGACAAACACAAACCCATTATTCACAGCTCTCCTTAGTCAGTCCTGGCCTTTGTCTACAAAACACAGCCAACAGTTTTGGCAAGTGTGTAATCATTCTTCTGTCTGCATAATTCAAACGTGGCACACATGAATTATGCACACGGCGGAATGATTAGTGTCTGGATTTAGCGTCGAGAAAAATAAACACTGAACAGTTTTAATTTGTGAGAGACTCTCAAAGGTTATGTATTTCATTGCTCTGGAGTGCCTTTATGTGAAGAGTGAAATCAGCAAAAGTTGATTCCTTCTGGTTGCGATCATTTAGATATGAAACTGTTGTTTAAAAGGTAGTTTTGCATATGGTGGTTTGTGCTTGAAGGAGATTCTGGAGGGCAGGGGTGATGATATTGAGATATAATGACATAGTTGAGAAGTGCTGTGTTGGGTAAACACAGGAAGGGCCTCATTGTGGAAAAAAAAGAAAGAAAGAAAGAGACGAGGAGGGGTGAGAGAAGAGAATAAAGCCTGGAGGAGGAGGGTGCCAGCAAGCTGGTGTTGGTGTGCCTCAATAAAATGCAAGGGGCTTCAGGCAGGACACAAGCCAGGGCTGACTGCTTGCCTATTGTATCAGCGAGACGGCCCCCAGAGAGACGCCTTACACAAAACACCCAGTCCCATCCCAGAATGAAGAATGTAGCATCCTGACTACTGCTAAACAGCAGACATCAAAAGCTGTGGATACGCCACTGGCCGCACCAGTGAGGATATCCAAATTAATAATTAACCTACACAATGCTTTGACACAGTTGATGTCATTACAGCAAACCAACTAGAAACACGTAGTTTATCTTTGATTAGACATTTTGACGCTCTAAATCAGGGGTTTTCAAACTTTTCAATTTCAAGGACGTCCAAATATAGCAATCTCCCTGGGAGGGACCTCTTTCCTAAAATGTGAAGTCAGCTATGTATTTTAATGGATACAGAGACATTTATAAATACACAGTTATACGACAGCCATGGCATTATACAAAAAAACAAGCTGTTTCCTAAATAAATATTTTGCATTTATTTGTGATTGTAATAAAGCCAATTTTTATTTTTGAATTCATATAATTATTTTTGAATTATTTATATGTTTGAACTTCATATAAATAATTCAAAAATAATTAAATGAATTATATAAATAATTCATAT